GAAGAGGAGAAGAGTGATGCGACATCTCTTCCGGACCATGTTGTATGGAAGGCTGCCCGTGTGGGACGAGATGGAGTCGTTCAGGAAGAAGTTCAACAAGTCTTTGAACAATGTGTAAGTACAACGTTATCTTTGTCAGTAACTGATCAAAAGTGTGTAATATATTTATATATATTTTTATCTATATTTCAGGAGACTCTGTCCCAGACCATAACTCCCGCCGAGGATAATGATTGCAGGAGCTTACTGAGCCGGGTGCTGAATATTCCTGAGTATTCTGGTCGTGTGAGGGGTAAGAGATTTGTTGTCACTCCATCCAAACTGTATAAGCAGCCAAAGAAAAAAACTCCAACCAATAAAGAAGTGATGGAGACTTTAGAGGAATTGAAAGCGCAAATCCGTGAATTACAGAAGGATAAGGAGAGATACATGGCGGAAAGACGCGCTCCAGAGGGTAGAGCTACTAGTGACAAAGATAGTACCGGTTGTCCACAGAAGCTTCCAGAGGTAATTGTATATATTACATTGAAATTAATTTAGCACACTTTACTTAATTGACACATTAACTGATCATTATTTGTTTAGGGCATTTCACTTTGCCGGCTATATTTATCGTCACCTACTCATCGAATGGTTGACAAGGGAAAGGTGCATAACTTTCTGGGAGACTTACTTCACCACAAACCGCTCCCTTCTGGATTTTTGAAAGTATCTATTGATATTGCATTAGAGGGGAGTGCGTTGTTGCCTATACCAGATGATATTTCAGGCGCAACAGTGGTGGGAGACGCAGTAGGATCGTATGTGGCATGGCCGGCAAATCTGATTTGCATAGATGATGAGGTAGGTTGAACCTTTTAATACTCAAATGTTTTATGATTCATACATGAAAGTTATTCTTACATCTACATTTTCTTATTTACATGATGATCTTAGACTCCTACAAAATCCAAATCAAAAGATGATAGAATTATTGTGCGGGATACCGATTCAGCTGCATCAAAGAAACAGGTACTACTACAGTTACATGACTATCTTGTTATACAATATTAATTACTGAACTTATATATGACTTTTAGGTTCATGATCAGCAGTCGCAACAAGTCAGCAAGAGTAAGATGCCTGAAACTTCCAAGGTTCCCAAAAAAGCAATTGTTCCTCGATTTAGGATGTGCCTTGAAACATATGTCGGAACATCAGATGTGCCTGAGGGTGGCGTCCGTCAAATACATATGGAGGCAGGTATTTTCGGTTTTGAATATCCCGAAACAATTGCTAAGGAGGAATTTGATCAGGTTTCCAACCATTCTGAACTGGGCGTCGGTGTTATGCATTCATACATCAGGTACTCCGATCCATTTTTATTAAATAATTGAATATTTTAAAATTTGCTCGTTTAACTTAATATTCTAATGTTGATTATGTTTTTTTAGGTTCTTGTATGACAAGTTATTGGTCCCGAATGAATTGACTTCAGTATTCACATTCTTATTTGCTAGCTGTGTCAACTCACGTATAATAGACCAGTCACCAGATACAGTCAAAGAGTACACAGTGCAGAGATTTATGCACGCGACTACGAAGAAGTTGTTCTTGTTGCCATATAACACTGGCCATGGGTTAGATTTTATTCTAAATTCATTTATTATAATTGTTCGATTTTTCCCTTTCTATATATATAACATTTCCGTCTAAACTGTTGTCTTATTTTATAGTGGACATTGGTTGTTGATCGCAATTAATCCGACGAAAGAAATAGTGTATTATATAGATTCATTGGATGGCGATACAACAAAATATGAAAATCTGAGGAACTTTGTTGATACGTAAGTGATGACATATACTGTTGTCTTTAATTATATATCTTTATTTATTATGTGACATTGTTCTAAATATGCGTTTATATTATGTTAGAGTTATACAAATATTCAGAGCACAAAGAGATGCAACGGTGCCAAAAAGGAAGGCTAACAACATCAACTGGATCAGAGTAAAGGTATATTCTCGCATGTTTCTACTTGATAAAACTATTTAAACTATATATCTGGATAAATGTTCGTTTGTTTTTTTTCCATTTACAGTGTCCTCGGCAGCGCAATGGTATTGACTGTGGATATTTTGTATTGCGCTTTATGAGGGAAATTATTCTTTCTAGTCAACTTGAGATTCCAGTCCTGGTATGGATCAATTCATTATATAAGTTATATGATTCATTTTGATAATTATCCGATACTTCATCTGAGTAATTAGTTTTAAACTTAAATCTTATTCGATCTGCTATATTATGTAGTATTATGATGAATTCAAGTGCGCTACTTACACGAAAGCAAAATTGGAAGAAATTAAAGAGGAATGGTGTCAATTTATTCTTGGGTTGAGAATTGTATAGAGTTATCGGATTGGAAGACTTGTAATTATATGTGAATTGAATGTATTTGTGTTGTTGTAATTCTGAGGATCGAATTTTGTTGTAACATATTTAAACAGGTTTATGTGTATATTAAAATGTTTATGAACAAAGTCATGAGTTACAATGTATCCAAAGTTTTGAATTGTACATATAAGGCCAAAGTTTGAATTGTATATTTAAGGCCAAAGTTTGAATTTTATTTATAAGGCCGAAGTGCTGAAATAAAGGCCTGAGTTATAAGCAGGTTTGTGTAATATAAGCAGGTTGTTGGTAAAATATACAAAACAGGGTGAATATTTTATAAAATTTTTTTTTAAAATCGAGGACATTAGACAGCGCTTTTACATAAAAGCGCTGCTAAAGGTCACAAATATTACGCTACAAAAGCGCTGCTATTGGTTTGGAAGGGGGGGGGGGGGGTCTAAGGCAGCGCTTGTAAAAAGCGCTGCTAAAGGGTGGGCTATGGCAGCGCTTTTGCAAAAGCGCTGCTAAAGGGGGAGTCTAAGACAGCACTTTTTTAAAGCGCTGCTAAAGGGGGATGGTTGGGGGAATTATGCAGCGCTTACAAAAGCGCTGCTAAAGGGCTAAAAAAGCGCTGCTATAGGTGTTGCTGAAGGGAGCTTTTAGCAGCGCTTTTTCATTGAAAAAAAACGCTGCCTTTACCTTTAGCAGCGCCACTTTTGGCAGCGCTTTAAAGCGCTGCTAAAGGCCAAAAAAAGCGCTGCTAAAGGTCTTTTTTGGCATAGTGACTACTCAGGTACCTGATTATCTGTACTCTCTAAAGAGTACAAACACAACAAACAGTAAATGAGTGAGAACTTGATTCAATAATACACGGTAAAAATCACATGCTAAGGAGTATTTATCACACAAGCACATCAATCATACAAATACATGCTAAGGAGTATTTATCACACAAGCACATCAATCATACAATCACAAGCACGTACAAGTGCCACATCAATACTCAGGCATACTCGATCATGCATCCTTCCCTGAGTATTGTATATTATTGATAGGTAACTCAATAAGTAAAACACGCACGCACAACAACACACACCTACACACACAAACACGCGCACGCGCAGACACACACACACACAGATATATATATATATATATATATATATATATATATATATATATATATATATATATATATATATATATATATATATATATATATATATATATATATATATATATATATATATATATATATATATGATTTCTTATTCTTATTTGATTTCTTTTATTTTTAATTTTTTTTAATAGTAACTGTTAATGCATTAATTTTTTAAAATTGTTTTATATATTATCATAATCATTAAATATTAATTATAAATTTCCCAATTATTAAAATAAATACAAAATAGAATTAAAAAATCATAAAAATTAAAGTTAATAAATAAGAATTTTATAAAACAATTAATTCAGAAGAAACTTAAAGAAGAAAATGGGAAGAATTTTATATCTTTTCTATTGTACAAAGTATTTTAAAATAATGGAAATATTTTTTAAAATGTTTATTTAAAAAATTAATCTATTACATGTAAATAATATCATAGATAAATAAAATAAAATAATTTATAGTTTTCTCATTTTTTTAAAACAGATAAAACATTAAACTTATATGTTTGCTATTGTACAAAGTATTAAAAAAATGGAAATATTTTTTAAAATTTTAATTTAAAAATTTAATCTAATACATATAAATAATACCATAGATAAATAAAATAAAATAGTCAATTATCTTCAAATTATACATGACAATTTTATGAGTTTAAAACTTTAAAAACTCAAAATTTAAATTGACCAAACCAAAAGATTAGTACTATTTTTGTGAATTTTAAATTTATTAACTTTTAAATTTTGTAAATTTTTTAAATTAGATAAGTACATTTATATAAAAAAAAAAAAACTTATCCGCTCAAAGGCTTAATAAAACAATCATTAAATATTTTTTTTTTATTAATTGATAAATTTTTCAATTTTTTAAAAGAGATAAATATATTAATGTATAAATTGAAGTACACTAATTTGCTTTAAAAATATATATAAAGATAGATAGATACATAAGGCGCATGAGGTATACAAATATACATACTTTGTCATATTTATCAAAAGATGATTATATATATATATATATATATATATATATATATATATATATATATATATATATATATATATATATATATATATATATATATATATATATATATATATATATATATATATATATATATATATATATATATATATATATATATATATATATATATATATATATATATATATATTGAGATCAACTTATTCTAAAAATATATTTATTTAACTTATTCCAAATTTGTAACTTTTGAATTGAATCTAATTTAATGATTAAATTAATTTATTACTTAATTAAATAATATTTATAAATCTTTCTTTAATTAATAATATTTTATTTATAAATTAGTATTATTTTGGCTATACTTCGACATATTATAATTAAATGTTAAATTATATTAAATGTTAAATTATATATATATGATGAGAGGTAGTGAAAATTAAGATTGAAATAAGGTTCAGTGTTATTATATACCTAACTATGGCAAATGGCAACTCAATTAGGAGTACTTTGAATTTTTCAATACTGTTAATTGCAGTAATTGCATTTGAAGTTGGAGATGCAGTAACAGTTGTAATTAAGAATGATATATGGCCATTTCACACAGAACTCACCGTTCATTGCAAATCTAAAAATGATGATCTTGGATTTCACACCCTCAAATTTGGTGAAACTTACATGTTTTCTTTTACGCCATTAGTGTTTCCACCAACTGGAAATACCTTATTTTTCTGCAGCTTTACATGGCCAGGAAGACCCTACCGTCATTATCTCGACATTTATGATCAAACCAAAGATGCCTGCGGAACTTGTAATTGGAAAATTAGTCAAACTGGCGGTTGTAAATCTGACAACCAAGGTCCTGAAACTTGTCAAGACTGGAAAAGTATTGAGATATAGTAACATTTACGTGTTTGCTACTACTGAAATAATATAAATAATATTTATATCTGTATCGTGTTTTAATTTGAATTTGAATTTGAATTTGTGAATTGTCAATACCAATTGAGTATTTAAATATTAAATAATTAGTATAATATTATTTCTTTTGTTTTAAAATGATTATAATTAAAAAAATTAATAATGTCATAAGATATCATACTTTTTATAAAATGATTTTATAAATGTATTACAAGTAGTACAAAATAATAATTAAATGAATTAATTAAAAAAAAGTAACAATTATTTTTATATTAAAAAGTGAAATAACAATTTTTTGAAAAAACAAATTTTTTTCTAAAACGATAATTATTACAAAACGGAGATAGTATTAATATTGATTAATTTATAATCACTTATTTTTATATGTGTGTGTGTTTTTTTTTGTGTAATTATTGTATTAACTAATTTTTTTTGGAATGATTAACTTTAATATATAATTTTTTTGAAACAATATGAGTCTCATGAGCCAGTTTTACTTTTAAAAAATATATATTTTTACCTTTGTTAAATATAATTTAAAAAATCAAATAAAAAAATTGTTTAAATCACTTGCCATAAAAACTCATTTTAAATACTTTATTTTTTAATGGATTTTTTCTATGATAAAATTTCAAAAAAATACTCAATATAAAAACTATTGGTTAGAGTTATTATAAATTCTCTTGAAAAAGGCTGTAAAATGAGTCAAATGATCACTAGTGTCACAATTTTCATCTCCAATTTTATATGATTCATAAAATTTGTCTCCCTATTTTAAATTTAAATAGTTTTGATATCTCATTTTTACTTTTACACTTAAAATTAACGATATTTTTATTTTTTAAATAATATTTTTTTTAAACATGATAAATCATCGTTAAAAATTAAGAATCTTGTCGATTTTCAATGAGAAATGGTGAGAGACCAAAACTATTTTATTTTAAAATAAAACAATTAATTTCGTAAATTATGTAAAATTAAGGGATAAAAATTATAATTTAATCTAATTAAATTAATTTTTTCTCTACAAAATAAAAGGATTTGATTAGAATCTCATAAAATTTACTTTTAAGAGACATCTTTTAGAAAAAAATTATGCACATTTCATTATGTTAAAGTTTTTAACAATGATCACTTAACTTGTTGGATGTTAAAAATACAGTGTTTATTTATAACAAATGAGATTGAAATAATTTCAAGTATTTTTAAATAAGTTTTTATAAAAGTTAATTTTAAAAAATAAATTTAAAATCATATTTTATTAATCCTTGACAATAATTAGCGAGGTCAAACTCTTACTTCAATTTTACAAATTCTCACGGAAAGACAACAAATTATGAAGGCAAAATTTAGGGAGATTATGCAAGGAAACTCTGTTGTGCTTTGTGCAGGTTTGGTTCAATTGTGTCCTGCCCTACCTCTTCTTGTTTCAAATGTGATCACTAATAAGCCTCAAATTATCAAGGAGGTTTTGCAGTGTCCCCCGTGTTGATTGATGAGCCATTTGGTGGCATCCCTTGGCATGCAGCTTGTGGCCGGTTAATGGTTTCTATGTGGAGATCATGTGAGCTATTTTTGCCATGAAGTATGTAGCTACTCAAAATTGGAAAAATTTAAGGTTGGAAACTGATTTTATGTTAGTTGTTAAAGCTTTCAGTAAACTTCCGGTCATACCTTAGAAGTTAAGAAACAGATGAGATAATTGTATATTTAGGATGAATATTTTAAAATTTCTAACAACTCATATTTACAAAGAAGGAAACCAATACGCAGATAAGCAAATTAACTTAGGCTTATTAGTCTCTAATTTTATGTAATGATTTGATATACATACATAGGGATGATAGTGATGAATTGACGGTATAAATTGTTTTCCACTGACAGTGCATAGTAATTAATCTCTTTAACATTTCATTGATTTTTTTAATCATTTTATTACTGCTATAAAATTTATTATTCTAACTAAGTTTTGATATTTTTATTAAATGTTAAATTATTAATCTTTTTATCTTAGATTGTTTTTATGACCTATTACATTTAATATTGGGAAAAAAAATCTAAGTTATGACTTTTAGTATTCTAGTATATATTAATATTGATATCAACCATATATAGGTATTATACATTTAAGCAACTTTCACTAAAATATGACCTTAATAATGAGACATGCACTCCGAAGTGTATGTGTGATTAAGGTGAGAGGGAGAGTTCGTCTGATACAATTATTAATGTATTTGTTATCATAAAAGGTTTGAAAAAAATGCTTCGGTAATTTTTAAGAGACGACTGTCTCATTCTTTGTTGCTTAGATGGTTGTAACTGAAGCATGATCAAATCTTTAACTTTAAAGGTAAAATCGATTATATTTTTATTTGCTAGAGTCTTCATTTGTAGCATGTTCTTTTGTTGCGTTTTATTTAACAGTGTCCATATCTTATGTCAGGTTTGCAGAGTGGTATTCAGAAAATATGGTATGGTAGATTCAACATATGCTTTTCTTTCTCACCTTATGGCCATCGTCCACCTCTACCACATACTCCAAACTAGGTTCCGCTTTAATCCCACACTCCGCCACTATCTCATGGGAAGTGAAGTTTTGAGATGCCCTTGAATCCACTAACACCATAACTAGTTTCCCTTGAAATTTGCCCCATAACATCAAAAATTTCTTTGAAGTAATTCCTGCCACACTATGCATATGTAATTGTAATGCCCTCACGTCCTCTTGTACTTCCAATTATGCATCCTCTTCACCACCTCTATCTCCCAACAAAAGAACATGTAAGTTTCGGTTCTTGCACACATGGCCCAAACCAAATGGTTCATCACATCGGAAACATAACCCTTTTTTTCTTCGATGTTCCCATTATGCATCAGATAACCGCCAGAATGACGAACTCCAGTGAGAATGATTGATTCATGTTGATTGAATTTGAGCCATGAGTTTCTTTTCTTAAGCGGGTTAATTAAAAAGATCTGAGTCCATTACTTGACCCATTCTACCTACTCTTCAAAGTAGACATAACATCAACAGACCCAATCATTTTACTAAATTCACCCCCTTCTAGGCCCACCACACGATTCTTCTTTTATACCCTTCTTGCCATATTCATTATATTACCCAAATTAGGGGTGCCATATAAATGCACATTCGTTTTTATAGCTTCCTTCAAGCCATTCATAAATGCTCCCCTGAGCATCTCTTCATCAATATGGCGTAACAGTGACGAAACGAGTTCGAACTACTTAATGAATTCCGCAATAGAATGAGTTTGTTTCAAGCTCATCAACACTTCATATGGATTCTCTGATGCTGCATCCTGGAAATGACCCAAAAATGCTCATTCCAACATCCTCAATGTAATACGCTCTATTATAGCTGAAGAGAAATCACAATCCAAAGTGCAACGGAAAATAAAAACTTTTCTTTAGTGATCCTTACGAATGATCATGACCAGTGATAGAACGGTTACATCTTGTGGTGATGAAACCTTTGATTCTGAATTGAAGGAGTGATCACGAGCGATGTATGATGAGCAACGCCTCTAAAATGCAACGGAAAATAAAAATTTTCCTTTAGTGATCCTTACGAATGATCATGATCAGTGATAGAACGGTTACCTCTTGTGGCGATGGAACCTTTGATTCTGAATCGAAGGAGTGATCACGGGCGATGTATGATGAACAATATCTCTACTCAGTACACACAAACAAATTCCTTCTGTCTCAGTGTTAGTTGCTACGATTGAAGGCTTTAAGTGAAAGAAAAAATTGCGACCATGATTTCACCAACTGAATTTCATCAAATTCAAAAACTTTTTACACAAGAATTGTATTTATAGAACCAGTTGTGTGGGCTGCAAGCTAAAAAACCAACTTAACAATAATAATATTATAATAACCATTATTATAATAAACATATTTTGTTATTATTCTATTTAATAACTATAATAATGATAATAATAATAATAGTAATAATAATAATAATAATAATAATAATAATAATAATAATAATAATAATAGTAATAGCAATAATAATAATAATAATAATAATAATAATAATAATAATAATAATAATAATAATAATAGTAATAATAGTAATAATAAAAAAATAATAATAATAGTAATAGTAATAATAATAGTAATAATAATAATAATAACTCTTATTATTATATTATATGATGTTTCATATTTCACTTAAATACACCGTACCTTACGGTGTTCCATAATTCTCTTAAGTACATCGTACTTTAAAGTGTTCCTTATTTATTCAATTTCTCACCGATTTGTTCTTATGTGTGTGACCCTGTAGGTTCTCGTGACGTTGACAATTATATTAAATAATATATTTAATATAATAAACAGCGAGCATATTTCTAACAACACATCACTGCTACCCGAGCCACGAAAATGTCATATGATATGACAAAATCTTTTGTGATAGTACTTGTTTGTACAATTACCCTTTGTCCTTATGTCTATATTAAACACAAAACATATATTGTAACTATCGCTACTCGAAAAATACGCGCAACGACGGGGAAGGCGAAAAGGAAAAAGACAGAAGAGTCGCCACCGAACTTTATTTATCCCATGAGGGAAAGGAAAATATCGAGAAAACCTTAAGAAAAGAACTGATAAGATGGTCTCGCAACCATAAATGGGTTCGGAAGCCGGTTATGCGAAGGGAAGGTATTAGCACCCCTCGCATCCATCGTACTCGATGGGAACCATTTGTTTGTCGTGTGTGATTATATTTGCTTAAAGATTTTACTATGAAGAGTGTTCCAAAAGATACATAAAAGGGTTAGAAACGGGGAAAGAAAGGTAACGGGGGGAAGAAGGGAAAGAACGGACTCGGTAGGACTTCGCGGTCCTAGACCTACGTATTCTCAACGGATATGAGAAAATCAGAGTCGACGTAGTTCGGGAAACTACGGGTGATAGGGGGATTGTGCTAGCCAAGACATCGCGGTCTT